GGGTGTTTCTTCTGTTGAGATTTCGGGGTGATTTTGGGGTGATTTTGGGGTGGTTTGGGGTGGTTTGGGGGGCTGTTTTTAGAGTATTTTAGGGATGATTTTCAGTGTGGTTTTGGGGTATTTTTGGGTTGATTTTGGGTTATTTTTGGGGTGGTTTTGGGTCATTTTTGCCCCCAGGCCTGCTGACCATGTCCCGCGTGGCGTGGGGGTGATTTTTGGGTTGATTTTGGGGTATTTTTGGGTTAATTTTGGTTAATTTTGGGGTGTTTTTGCCCCCAGGCCTGCTGACCACGTCCCGCGTGGTGCGGGGGTGATTTTTGGGGTGATTTTAGGGTATTTTTGGGCTGTGTTTTCAGGTGTTTTGGGATGTGTTTTTAGGGTATTTTTGGGTTGATTCTGGGGTATTTTTGGGTTAATTTTGGGTGTTTTTGGGTCATTTCCCCAGGCCTGCTGACCATGTCCCGCGTGGCGTGGGGGTGATTTTTGGGTTGATTCTGGGGTATTTTTGGGTTGATTTTGGGTGGTTTCAGGTAATTTTTGGGGTGTTTTTGCCCCCCCAGGCCTGCTGACCATGTCCCGCGTGGTGCCCCTCTCCCACTGCGCCTGGTTAATTTTGGGGTGTTTTTGCCCCCAGGCCTGCTGACCACGTCCCGCGTGGTGCGGGGGTGATTTTTGGGGTGATTTTAGGGTATTTTTGGGCTGTGTTTTCAGGTGTTTTGGGATGTGTTTTTAGGGTATTTTTGGGTTGATTCTGGGGTATTTTTGGGTTAATTTTGGGTGTTTTTGGGTCATTTCCCCAGGCCTGCTGACCATGTCCCGCGTGGTGCCCCTCTCCCACTGCGCCGCCACCCTGGGGCTGCTCCTGGCGGGCGTGGCCTGCCTGCGAGGTGAGGGGGGGGCTTTGGGGGTCTCGGGGCCCACCCCGGGACCCCCCTGACCCCCCGGGACCCCCGGCAGGGCTGGGCCGCTGGAGCAACCCCCAGTACGTGGAGTTCATGGCCGTGCTGGAGGAGAGCCACCGCTCGGGCAGCCCCGAGAGCAAGGTGGGGGCTGGGGAGGGGGCTCAGGGGGCGCGGGGG